GAGGTAAAATAAGACACTACAAATTCCTTACAATTCTCTAAATCACCACAATTCAACAGCATTCAAGTTCTTGAAAGTTTAATAGACGGCAAAGGCTTGCGTGATGCTCGAGGTATTAATATTTCCTATTCGCTGACACCGAGCTAGCTCACTCTTTCATTGTGCCAAGCAATTAAGTCGGTTCGTTCAAAATTTACGAACGTTGTACTGCGTTGCGCCAAAATTACTTTAAGTCGTGTGATCTCCGTTTGTTAGTTAAAATCTTGTATATATGAATGTGTATGTGGGTGGAAATTGGTTGAATCTCTGCTGGAATTCCTGCTTAAGAAGCTGCGGAAGTTTTCTATTTTGGTTTTTGATTGGGTTTAGAGTTTAGCAGTTCTATTTCTTTTAATTATTTTATTTTTCGGCTTAATCCCGTAACTATTTGACGAGGAACTCGATGGTGTAAGCACAATAACTAATTTAGTATGCCTCGCGAATACTATCTCTTTTAAAATTATATACGCATATTTTTAATACCTAATGAGTTAATGTTTGTCGCGGTGAATCTAACGGGTAACCGGGGCTCCGGCTCGACGTGCATGAGAAGGAACGGGGTGGTTTTTAGTCAGTAAGAGTCTGACACTCTCTTCCGCCTCACCCAGGCAGGAGCAGTCATTCGATGATTTTCCTCCCTTTAAAAAAAATTGAGTTAATACAAATTAGTATATATTTGTCATTTTAATCCATAATCAGAGAAATATCATATATATATTGTCATAATTTTTTTTCTGATGTAACGAGACTACGCCCCTAAATGCCAGGCAATATTTAGCAGACTTAACAGAAAACAGTTTCATACTCACTCATCATCATATTACGAAACATAGGAAAAAAACAAATGAAACGAGCTAGCACGATAACGCGATAAAATCGAGCTCCTACATCTAAACCATGATAAAAACAAAAAAGAGAAGAGCAATATTCTAGCAATTTAAAAACGGGTAATAGAAAGGTATCCATCCTAGGTACCAACAGGAAGGTTAGAGTACGAAGCGACCCTTGATTGCTTTTTAATAGGTACTGCTATCATCCTAGTCCGGGTCTCCGGGCCGATAGGTGGTCCTACTCGTTTTTTGATACGTGATCTCCAGTTTGTATTACATTTTAACGAGCTGTATGCGTTTGGACTTATGAACAATTGAGAATTTGCTATAGGAAAATATGTTTGTTTTCTTTCTTTAAATATTGACGGATACACTGTAAAGAGTATTTTTTATTTGTTCTTTGGACTTAACGTAGGTCCTGGACATTGATAATAGACAAAAATTGTGCAAAGATTTGATTGAGATTAAAATGAGTTGGTTAAGTTTAAGTATTCAAAAATACTAAAGGAAAACATAACTGTAAAATAAAAAAACATGATCTGTGATTTTCCTCCGAGATGTTTCAATTATGTCTGATTTTATCAGATATAATGTTTTCAATTCTTTCAAACAATAGTGTAGTAATCTCAACACACACGGAACCCATAACCACAACTCACTGCGGCTTCGAGGTTCTCAGCCGTTTTTCTATGACGTCCCACGATGACCCTTTTTACGTACAATTAATTGCCTGGTCCCGCCACGTTCCTAGTTTTTGTATTTTGTTCTACTTAATTTACAGAGGCTTACTTCGTGCCTATCACTCGGAAACTGAATATAATCATAGAACTTTGAAAGTAAAATTATAATTTCATCCAACAGAAATGATTTTGGTTAGTAAACACCACAGACAAAGCGAGGGTTCATAAACTTTGCCTAAGTTTATTCTCCAATATTTGAAATCGTTTTACTAGCTTTGGTATTGACAGCAATAATACCAGGGGCAAACAAACAAATAATCAATTTAGCTTACAAAGCAGGTCGAAGTGATGTAACAGTTTGAGTTTAATTACATCAATGGTGAACAAAGCGAACAATTAATTAATTATCACTCACTATAAGTGATAAGACCGCCTTTGTGCCCATTTTCATTTTTTCTTTATGATTGTAATTTCCTTTTCTGTATGTACTATATAATTAATGGTGTATTATAAAGTTTATTCAATTCTATTCTATCCTCCTCAATTTTGAGAAGTCGGTTAAAAATCAACATCACCCAATCACCGCAAACCAGAGACCAATAATGTCCGTTTTTAGCAACCACTCTTAAATCTTAAGTGACCTCTAAAGTAAAATTAACACTTAACGACATTTTCGTCGCCACCAACCTATAAGTAACACTTAACCATACAAATAAGTGACTCTTACACACGAATACTGAAAGACTTCTCAATTTTAAGTTGTACTTATATATCATGCCATCTCTGTCATTCTACAAAGAATTTTCGTAGTTACAGAAATACACTTAAACGCGATTTAAAATTGAGTGCCGTTTCAGTATTCGGACTTTAGTTATTAGATCGTTAACACACACGGTCGTAATATAAATATATATATCAAAATATAGAGGTATAGTGAAAATAGACAAAAATAAAATTTTAACAAAACTATTATGGTGGACCACGTAATACCATTCCATTACCATCCCTACGACTAGTGTCCAACATGGCCACCACAAAGAGGTACAAACAAAACAGTTTAAACGCCAGTGTCATTATAAAACATTTAGCGGCACGGAATATTACAATTTCAACGGAAATGATGTGCAACTTACACATTCATGTGTAATCATGATGTTATTTTGTCTGTTTTGGGAGTTCGATGCGTTTGATTTACACAATAATGCCTCTACGAAGGTAGTTCACGAAATATTGACAATTTATGGGTGTATAAAATAGTTTTAAGTGTACCAGTCATACGTATCTTAATGCTATCGTATCTCTCATTAGTAATGCCCGAGCCACACCAACGAGAAATGCCATTGCTTATTGCGACAATGCACGTTTACAGTAGGTGTAGCCACGAGTCAACGCAATAATTTGACAACGGCATTCACATTGCCGTTTCGCATGATGGGCATTCACGTCGAAATTTTAAGTGTAGCCACCACTTTATCGCGTTAAAATTATCGCAATAATTATCATAGTAAACCCTGTGGCCCTGGCATAAGAAACATTAGAAAGTTATTAAAATGGCTCACAACCATGACTGCAAACTTATTTAGTATCGAGCTCCGTAACAAGAAACTTTAATATTAACTAACCATTGGTTTCATGTAATGAGATAACAATCATTATTCACCATAAAACTCAACGAATTCCCTACAACCCTCCTCAACCGTCAATGTCTAACATTTCAGTGTTCACGACAGAGATATAGCTGACAGTCGCATCTATAAGTCGGCTGAATATTGCCAACAATAAAACGCCCGGCCACTCGAACTCGGGCCTCAATACTCAATAGCGAATCGCGATAGATTGGGACTTGACAATTATAATGGCGGAGGCGGAGAATTTTTACGAGTTTAGCAATATTTAACATTTCGAAAGGTTTCGTAACGTCTTTTTTAGCTGATGGAATATTTTTGTTCCGAGGAATAAATTGAAAAACGTTGTCTTCCTTTTGTATGCATTGATTTTATACTGTTGTGTTCGATTTGTGTGGTTTTAGCTTAGTTTTATTAATTTAATGGAATATTGTAACTTGATAACGTTGCTAATTTGATAAATACATATAATGGTGAACAAAATTATAATTCCTATATTATAACATTAACATAACCCAGTTCATTTAATTGATGTAAAAATTATTCGATGTCATATAGTTAAGTCTTTGACTGCCAATAGAAAATTGTTGAAGTCAAATCCTCCGATAATGACGGTCAGCGGTGACCCCCACGGCGTTTAATGTGTTAATGTTGCTGAGATTCCTCAAAGTCTAGGAAAAGAAGAACAACTAAACTAAAATATCTACGTGGAAGTTTACTAGACAGTGATAACTCTTCATGGCTCACTTTTGCATAAAGCTAGAAGTTTTGTTTGTGCCCTAGGGATTCAAGATTGTCAAGACACACGTGAGTTCCTTATTTATATGACATTCATATGGCAGGGAAATATTGTATTAAGTTTAATGTTCTGGGGATTTAAATAAAATACTTGAGCCAAACTTTAAACGCCTTTGAGATAGAGATTTTCTTAGGAAAGTAGTTGTATTTGTGAGATGCATATAAGTTGAAGAAACTATAAACTATTATGACAAGGAAGGCTTTATATTGATGACAATTATAATTATTATACGTTAAAACTACAGTTTTTAAGAAATAAATGTATTATCTGCTACATTCAGCCTTCTTCAGTTTCCCAAAAAACATATTATTGCAAGATATCTCACAGTTTCGCTTCCACCAGCGGGTGTAAGACAGCGGTCATGTTTACGAGGACTTTAAGACTCGGCCCGTCTTATAAAATAGCTGAAGTACGGTATTCATGTCTTCGGACGCCAACCTGATGGGTAGGCGGGTAGGGTGATCATGAAAACTGTTTGGATATTACTTACATGTTTGTTTTGTTTGAGAATGGTAGAAAATTGAGTCCCGTATTTGGCTGTTATTTGTCTTCTGTAACATAATATCACGCTTTTTATTCCCGAAGGGGTAGGCAGAAGTGTACATTATGACACTGTACAATGTAACACCCACTTTTTATATTATGAGTCCCATGTAATAGGGGGTGAGCCTATTGTCATATACCGGGCACATTTCCAGACTCCGTGCTACTACTGAGATTTTTTTTTAAATCCAGTAATACTTTGCCCGACCCGGAATCGAACCCGAGACCCTATGCTCGGCAGTCACACTTGCGACCACTCAGCCAACGAAGCAGTCCTTTGTCTTCTGTCTTTGTTAAAGACAACGTTGCCCCCACACTAGGATTTTCTCCTGTGTCGCGGGTGCGTTTCACTCAGACCCGGAACAACAACCTGCGTGGATCACACAAAGAGTTGTTCCATGCTGGAATCGAACCCGCGACACGTTGCACGGCAGCCAGTTGTCCAACCACCGCGACAACCAAGTCATCTCATATTATGCTGTTCTGTTTTCATGTTTTACTTATTTGAATGTGGAGTTTCTTTATAATCATATTATCGTCTTAGAGTGTGACCGTGTACTCCCACAAGGCCCAGATAATTATCAGTGCCAGTAAGTACTACAAAATAAGTAGTAGATTAAAAATTCTCCAGAGTTTCTTTTTTAATTTCCATTTAAAAAACCTTCCATTTAAAA